ATCTGTTTATAACGTTTTATATACATTGTTCTTATCCTACAGATAATGAAGTACATGAAGGTGATTCCAGAACTAACAAAAAGGTAAGTACCTATTTGCTAAAAACAAATGCTCAACATCAGCATGTCAATAATAATTTGCCCTTAATTATTATTTGGGGGCATGAAAAATCATTCCCAAAGAAACAAAATAATGTTGCAGATTCAATTCTTGCTTCCCACATCTGTGTATTGTGATCAATAAGTGAATGTACATAAATTAATAGACTTTTAATTAACACTTGCTAGAATGTCAGTTTAGTGGAGGAAAAAATCCAAAACAAAAACAAAAAAAAATATTTTTACAACTTGTCAGGTAAATCTTGAGTAAACAGGTAGAAACAAGAAGAGTTTCTACAAGTATGTCAGCAGAAAGAGGAAGATCAGGGAAAGTATGGTTCCTTTCCTGAATGGGGGAGGCAATGCGCTGACAGCTGATGGTGAAAAGGGCTAAAGTGCTCAATGCCTTTTTTACCTTAGTCTTCACTGGCCAAGTCAGCTTCCAGACTACCGCAAATGGCAGCACAGTTTGGGGAGGTGGTGAGCAGCCAACACTGGTGAAAGAACAGACTAGGGACTATTTAGGAAAGCTGGACATATACAAGTCCATAAGGCCAGACGCAGTGCACCAGAGGTGCTGAGGGAGTTGGCTGATGTGATTGCAGAGCTGCTGGCCATTATCTTTTTTGATTGCCACAGATTTTCAGAAATCCCAGACAAATGAAAAAAGGCAAATATAGTGCCTATCTTTAAGAAAGGGAAGAAAGAGGATCCGGGAACTACATACCTGTCAGCTTCACCTCCAGTGAAGGGCAACAAAAATGGATAGAGGGCACATGACCTCTGAGGAGAGGCTGAGGGAACTGGACTTGTTTAGTCTGGAGATGAGAAGACTGCGGGGAGGTTTAACATCAGCCTTCAACTACCTGAAGGGGGGCTCCAAAGAGGATGGAGCTGGACTGTTCTTGGTGGTGGCAGACGACAGAGCAAGGAGCAACCGTCTCAGGTTGCAGGAAGGGAAGTTTAGGTTAGATATGAGGAAGAACTTTCTCACTAGGAAGGTAGTAAAACACTGGAACAGGTTACCCAGAGAGGTGGTGGAATCTCCATCCTTGGAGGTTTTTAAGACCCAGCTTGACAAAACCTTGGCTGGGATGCTATAGTTGGGGATGATCTTGCTTTGAGCAGGGGATTGGACTAGACCTCCCTGAGGTCCCTTACAATCCTAATTTTGTATGATTCTATAAACTTGCAATGGGTTGAAATCAGGCAAACTCAGGCTCTTCCCAAGGGGGAAGTCAATCCAAGCATAGAAGGATCCCATTTGAAATACTTTTCCCATACCCATTAAATCGCTGTTATGGGGGATGCTGTCAACATTGTCATTGATTATCTCTCCTCTCAAGACTCATATGAATAAAGAGGCTCTCTTTGAGAGAGTTTTTCAGTAGGTAACTGATGAGATCTTAAAGAAATTTAAGAAATCAAAATCTATTCTCTATTCATAAGTCTCATCCCACCTTTTCACTACCAAATTTAAAATAATCCTTTCAAACTGGTGTACATCAGAGGAGATATTTTTCAGTCTACATTTGAACCATAAAGGAACTATCTGCAATGCTTTCACAATCTGTTACTACCCATCTACCAGAGAACATGCAAGAGGAGAAGCTCAAAGAGAAACTCAATAGGAATTTTAACTACCCACTTGAAACAGCTTGGAAGAACTGAGCTATTTACCACTGTTCTGAAGGGGAATGCCAGTAATTTAGATCTTGTAGTGACATTTAGAATAAGGGATATAAGAAAATAGAATACAGCCCCACACAGGAGAGCACAAGGAGCCATCCTGCATCATGCTGTCAGACAGACCTGGCTGAGCAGAAATTTATATAATGGGCTTAGACTTCCCTGTTTGCAAATTCTCCATGAGCGTATGTTTAATTTTACTAAAGTGTTCATTGTTTAACTTCCTTTGACTGATCATTCCTGCAATCATGTTTCATCCTATGGATTGCTAACAAAATGTTTGCCCATCAGTTTACTAGTAACAATTCAGTATTCATGCAGTATTGTACAAGTCATGTTCCACTCATGATGTGATGACTTGGAAGCAAAAAAACAGCTATGCAGATACTTCCAGTGCCAGGTTTTCAACAGATACTGATTTCTGTTGCTTCTTCTCTTCTTCATCCTTGATAAGAAAAGTTTTCTCCCGTCAGGATATGTAAAAATCAAAATAAGAAATGACCGTGCACTAAATTCTACCATACTACCTTATATTAAATATTTGAGACTTTTTTTTCTTCCCAAAGAAAAGTATGTGAAACCTGTTTTCATGGTATTCTCCCAGCTTTGTCCTGGGAACTTTTAACAAAGAGCCTAAAGGTTGTCAGCCTCAGGAGAGATGTCATTTTGAAATGATATTTTTTAATTGTCAAGTTATTTTTAGGACTTAAGTCTGACTTTGAATATAACTCACACAATTCTAATGATACACTGGATGATTTCAGTAGATTGTTCATATACTTGCATTATTATAGTCTTGGTATGTATTTATGCCGTCCTATGACTATTCTTCATATTTTATTTAAATAAGTGGACATCTGAAGGTCTGGGGACAGGAAGTGCATATAAACCTGTATAAGTGATCGGAAGCCAGTTCCAATCTGTGATGCAACAGAAGTTCAGTGCACCTAAACTGCTTTCAAAATGGCTGAAACCAGTTTAAGATAAACCTGCATTGATGTAGTATCAGGCTTAACTAATTTAGGTTAAATCAGTGTATTGAACTTCTGTCCCAGATCCCTTCCAGATTCAAATTAACTCACAATCCCCCAGCATCCCACAATGCTTTGCACATCCCCTGCAAACCCCCCCCCGCCAGGTTGTGTAGGCTAGCTTTGGCCCAAGCTGTCTGCTTCAGCTGAGCAGGGATGTGTGCTCTGGCGCCCTCTAGCTTCTGGCCTGAGCCACTGCAAGCATGTGGCTGCATTTCTGGACTCAAAAGTGAATGTCTGTTGACTTGTTTATTGGTTTAACCTACACAGTTTAGACTAACTTGCAAAGATTGAATCGATTTAGCTTTGGGCTTTTTGACTGCCTGTACTTAGCCTTGGAGTTAGATTCTTCAGCCATCTATGTGAGTAGTCCCAAGCACAGGAGTAAGGGTTTGCAGGACTGGGCAAATGATAAGGAGACCCATATTTCTATGTATTCAGTGTTACAAAGAATGGTATTTTCTTAATACAGGACAATCGTGCAAAACTACTGGACTTCTTGAATGAGAACACATTAACTGAAAATCTGCCTGAAGAATCTTTTAAGAAAAAAACCAAAAAATCTGAAGATCCCGATTCTTCCTCCTCTTCCTCAGAAGAAGTAAAAGCTGGGGTTGAAAATGTGAAGAGTGAAACTTTCTCAAGAGAACTGACACCAGAGAAAAAAGCTGAATCTGAACCTGACTCCAAAGAGCTGACTGAGATCCACTACTGGATTAAGAATGCTTTGATGCAAGATAAAAGCTCCAGTGAAGAACCTCTGAAACAGAAAGGAGAGGGCCTACAGCTAGAAGTGAAGTCTTCTGAGGAGGAAGAATATGGCTATATAGTAACAGAGAAAGAGTAAGTATAGTGGCAAATTTGAATTGCATTTTTTAAATGGGGAAAAAGTAAAATGTTTGTAGCTGATGAAATATGAATATGAAAGAGGAAGATGCTATTTACTGTTCCAGTTTTTAATACTTCTTAAAACTCTGTTTGCAAGTAGCTTAGTACTTTAATGAAAATAAAGAAGAGTAGAACTGTCATTCCTTCTCTATAGAAGATGCGTAATTTGCAGGCCTCTGGTCGGTATTCACTTAGTCTTCTGATGTCCCAAGGACCTCATATGTCAGAGTATATTTATGGTTAAGGATGTGTGCTTTAAATATTTGACTTCAAAGTAACCTAAATACCAATGTCTGAGTCATTTTTCAGGAAAGTGCTACACAATAACAGCACTATATTTCATCTACAGATTTATTTGGATCTGAAAATAATATAAATAGGGATCCAAACATCACATAAACATGCTACCTCAGAAAGAAAAACCTAATGATGTCAAGTCATGGCTAATGAATTTGACATTTAAGTCTTTACTTTCAAAAAGACAGCTCTTTCTACAGTGATGTACAATGTTTTAAAGAGGGGGGAAATGGGTGGAAGTTTAGGTTTTCAGACATTTTAATTTAGTGTTTTACACTTTTTTCTGAATACAAAGCTTATATTTTGTGAGTCATCTCTCCCAATTAGTACTGGAAATGATTAACTGCTAGGGTAGAAGAGAGAATTGATGTTCAGCATTGTTAAAGTGTGACTGCGTGGTGGATTGATCACTTTTTACCTTGATCAATATGGATTAGATCACCAATTTTAATCATGATTTAAATCAGGAAGCAGAAAATCTGTTTTTAAAAACTTGCTTTAATACTGTTTTACCTTTATATTTTCCTAAAGAAAAGTATCTTCTCACTAGTTGGTGAGTTGGAGCAGGCTCACCATTTCTGGAACACTTCCTTCTGGAGAAAATTGGGTCGTGCATCTCTAGTTCTTGCTGTCTTTCTCAGTTTCCTGAGGTCTGGTTTAGTCCTCTGATTAGGCCAGACTTGTGTTCTCCCTTTTGTGGTAGTAGTCAGTGATCTTCCCCTTAATTTTTAGATGCCTTTGTCACTGTGGGTAAGAGAGGAAATCAGGCTTGTATGTTCCTTGGGGTTTCAGCCTGGAAAATCCTTGCAGCTTCCCTGGTCATCCTCCTGAGGCATCTCTCTCCACACATTAGGTACCCTCACAGGGATGGTACTTTCACGTTCTATGGCCTTCTTTATAGGGTGTCTTCTAATCTGGTCTTCCTGTTCTATAAATTATGTACCCAGTCTTCACATCCCATAGGTTCTGTATAGGAGCTGGCTGCCTACCTTCCTTCCCAGAAGCCTGCTAACTGCTTCAATTTTCTTTCTTCTTGGAGTCTAACCTTCCTTAAGTGTAGTGAGTAGGATTAGTTGGCCAGCTGCAGACTCCTTGTGTCTTAAAAGTGCAGTCCACTCTGCTACACAAGCGCTAAGGCTTGTTGCTTTTCAAGTGTTAGCTGTGCACTGATACATTGGTCCCATATCAGATCAGCACCGATGTAAGGAAAATTGACTGTATAAGCAATTGGCTTCTTTTGGCTGATGTGGCCAATAGTGCCACCAATAAATGCCCCGTGTATTTATGCAGCTTCAGTGCAGCACACAAGCAGCCAGGAGTGCAGCCTAACAGTGTGGAGAGCAGCCAGGTCCAGCTGGTAAGTCTGTTGTGAGGGAAGGGGTGTATGGTGGGGGGGGCCAGATACAGGCCCCAGCAGTGAGGGAGGGAGTGGGGCTAGGGCAATGGCAGGGGGTGCCCAGATGGGACAGAGTGCAGGATGGAGCTGTGAGCAGCTCATCTGGGGGACCTGGGGCGGGGGGGATGGCTGTTGCCACTATACACATCCCCAGGGGATGCATGGGGGGGCATGTGCCCCCAGATCTGCACAGGACAAGGGTGGGCTGCTACTGCGGGCTGAGGCTGGGGCAGCACCGGGCTGTTCCCA